AAACTGTGAACTAAATCCCTCATCTGTTCATTCTTAAATTATAAATTCCAGAACATACATACTACGTAAACATATCTATAAACGACTGAATCCTCTTTGATGCTTCCCAAGGTGGACAGAACACCATATTCCTCCCTTTGCCGTTAAGTATCAGTATTCACACGGCTGTTGCGCTCAGTAAACACAATATTCCTCTGCCTAAACGACTCATTTATTCAGTATTCATGGGTTGATGAGTGAGTGGTGGTGTTATGAATATTGGAGCGTGGTAATATACCTTGAGTACGATACCTTAACCATTGAGTACGATGAATTACCCCCTAAAGTACGATACCTTACCCCTTTGAGTACGATAAATTACCCCCTAAAGTACGATAGCTTAACCTCTTGAGTGCGATAAATTAACCCCTTGGGTACTATTAGCTAAATGAAGGGGTTAAATCTTCATACTCAAGAGATTATATATCATCGTACTTAAGGGGTTTAAATGGATACGTAAGAACATTCCTAATTGCCTCCCTCACGCTACGATACAAAGTTAATGAGGGAATGGCACCTAGATATCGCTGAGACTCTACCTTAGGAAAAGACAAATTGCGTTCTCCGAAAATCTGGTTAAAAAAAAAAAAAAAAAATATCGTATTTTTTTTTTTTGAGAATTCAGACAATAGACTTACGAAATTTATTGAAAATCTTAGACAGGTAAAATGGAGGAGGAATTATACGATGGGTTATGCTATGTTTTGTGAATCCAGGTAAGAGTTACGATATTCATGTAGGGTCAGAGAGAGAGAGAGAGAGAGAGAGAGAGAGAGAGAGTCAAGAGCGGAGGGAAAAAGAGGAGGAAGAGAGAGGAGTGTGTGTGTGTAGGAAGAAGGGAGGGGGGAAAGGAGAAGACGGTATGATGAGTGAGTGAGTGAATGGGAGAGTGAGGGAGTGACTAAGGGAGGAAGTGAGGAAGGGAGGGAGGTAGGGAGGAAGGTAAGGAGGGGTGAGATAAACTTTGTTTACCTCTCATTACCAAGGGTGCAGACAGCGTGAGAGGAAAGTTTGCAGACGGTGAAGACACAGAGGGAGGAAAGCTTTGATGCCGACTCTACCTTATATGCATACGTCCACCTTTTATATGTATATGATCATCTCATATGTATATCAATATGTATAAATTCATATCTTATTAACATACTCGCAAAATTACTGGGTTAGGTATATATTGTATAACCTTGACTGCCACAGTTTGCCCTCCCTGACACGGGTAACCACCCGGTGGTCTGTCGTCAAAGTAATAACAAGGTAATATGTGTGTAAAGTTACAGATCTCTAACTGCTTCCGTTTATGAGCTATGGGTGGAACAGACAGACAGACAGACAGACGTCCTTTTATTTGTGTACATATACACATATATATTAATTTACGGGAGCTAGGTAAGAAAATGTTATTGTGAAGGAGGGAGATTATGTTGGGAGGATAAATTAAGAGAGAGAAGATTAACAAGAAGGAAGATTATCAGAGAGGAAGATTATCAGATACAGTATTATCAAGGGTAGACTGGAGATGTACGACGTACGACCCCTAATACTACCACCACTACTACTACTACTACTACTACTACTACTACTACCAGTATCACCAACGTATTCTCCGTCTATCACCAACACCCAAACCACCACCAATATTGCTTGCTATCAGTGATGCCTCCACTACCCGCTGTCATAAGAATAATAATAACACTGTCAGAACAACTCACACACTCACAATTTTACATCATGGTGAATGGCTGAAACAAAACCCTTATATAGTTGTTGGGTAAACGCGTAACCTGAAGCGAGACTGTTTAGCTATTTGGTTCTGCTTGTTAGTTAGGTAAGGCGTGGGGATGAGAGAACGTGAGATGCTTCCCTGAGTTGGATGGAGTCTGTGTTTGGGAATGGGTGTATGAGAGTGCTTGAGGTTAGCTTATTGTGTTGTCTGGGTAAACCTTGAGGCAGAGTAGAGCTTTATGTTACTACCTGACTGCTGATAAAGTTACAAGATCAGAGGAATGTTATAGAGGCATCAGTTCCTATCATACTTTATGTACGAGTTTCTTTATATTTTTTTTTCGTCATTTTTCCTCTGTACTTACGAGAGACATAAGTACCAGACACGAGTTGAATATTCTACTGGATAATATAGAACCTGAAGACCTGAATTGTTTACTATGGTAGAATATGAACATTGGCCTCGTCACCACCTTTGGTTAGGGAGTTAATAAGATCAACCAATCAGGTGATGAGTTGATATACTTCCCCTAGTGACCTGACCTATCAACACAAGGCAGGAGGGTACTACACATGGGCAGGTCTAGTGGTCTTCTCAGTGGATAGATGAACATTATTTGGAGCATTTCTGAATGTTTGGGCCCTGTTTACTGTTGTGCCTCCTCAGGGTTCATAAATATTAGGTGGATGTTTATGTTTAAGTTTAGTGCAGCTGTGTTGACCCAGCTGATAGTAAAGTCGTCCACACACACACGCACACACACACACACACACGGCCTTATGATTCAGCCCAACGACCGACATTCAGACAACACCCGAGGATCTTCAGATAACACTATGGTACTCCAACCGCCCCCCGCCCCCACCCCGCCCCCCTGCCGACCCGCCGCCACCACCACCGCCGCCGCCGCCGCCACCACCGCCGCCGCCGCCACCTTTTCCCATTACCATCAAAGGTCTGGCGCCTTATTGACACCCGCACTACCACCACTCCTATCACCATTACCACCATCTCTAAACGTCTCACGTCTGCTCTAAGAATCTACACATGGTTAGAGCTATTATCTTCACATCTCAGGGTCTCATAGTTACATATTCACTCATAGAGATTCAGTTGAATAGAACCCTCACTGAATATCCCGCCTGTGGTGAAGGTACAAAAAAAGTTCTTTGATGTGGGATACAAGTGATTGGTCGTATTGAGTTATGATATTACGAGGTTACAAGCGGCTCACTCCCTCCACTCAAAGATGAGCTCTCTATTATAATATCTTTCAAGTATGTATGAATATATATAATATATATGTAACCGGTCGGAATTTACTGGACTTTTAATTTCTCACTTGACTAGTGGTTTATTAAGGATTATTACATGGAAATTGCAGTGAAAGCGCCCCTTGGAGAAAAAAACCCGAACCAGCACAAGAACACTTAAATTTACTAAACAAAATGAATTGTCCGTGACCCGTGGAAGGATAGCATCTGTGACTGGGATGAATGAGACACACTGTAAAATTTAGACACTTATATTCCCTCCAACACTAAAGACACAATCAAATAATGGTACACCAATCTGCGCACCTCTTAACCTGAACTTAAAACACTACTCTGGGGAAAAAAAGTTATACATGATATTGAAATTATTAGAAACTCAGACAATGCCTCATTAGACAACAATAAATTCAAAGTATTAAGAATTGTTGCTTGCACACATGAAACAGGCCTTAAGGGCTTTCAACAAAATTATATTCCCCCAACAGATGCACACTTCCTAACCTAACTTAAACACTACTCTGGGGAACAAAGGTTATACCTGAGATCAGAATTATAAAGAAAAGTTAAATGCATTAAAGGAACAAAATCACAGTATCACTCTGGTTTCAATTAGTGACACAAACATTAAAAAATAATACTATCAAAATTATTTACGAAATATTAAACTACACACGTCAGTAACTGAAAAAATGGTATTAACTACACACAAAAATATTGTCACTATTATTGAGATATTACTGGGTCCACCAATACCCGTGAACCATGCTTCACCCAACTCAACATACACCCGTAATAAGGGAGATATAATGTTTCTCTAGGTATCCCCTAGACTCCTGGTCTCAGTGTGTGACCATTAATTTACTCAGATAGCCTCAGTGTACTCTCAGTGCGTCCATGGGCGGGAAGAGAGAACGCCAGCAGGTGACCCTGGCCAGTAGGTAATACTTCTAGCTGACCGAAAACACGTGGTGTTGTGCACCCACGTGGGAAGAACTGATCACCCAATGCTGATGCTGGTCCCGTGTCGTTTTAGTTGTCGGGAGCACTCGTTCACTCAAGAGACCCCTTGATATCCCAGCTGACCAGTGACAAGCCTACACTGATCGTTCCAACTGCGACAATCGCTAATCATCAATCATCAACGGCAGTCTCAAACGACAGTCAATCTCTCTCAGTCAATCTCTCGCAGTCAAGTGGGTTCTGACGGAAACCCTGAAATGAACTCACTGTTAGCTCTTGTTCTTTATCACTGCCCTGTCTAACCCCTATCTGAAATCGAATGAGACTTACTTGTTATACTGCAATAGCGCAACACAGGTGACTAGACCACGTGACCGTTTCGTCCTCTCTGAAGCACAGTCTGCCCTCTCTGTTCGACGGCTGTCGTCTGACTGAGAGCCAGCCAGCCTCGTGTCTACCCAAGGTGGTAGCCTAGGCCTACGTGACATATTTTCCGCCTAACTAATAACTTTCTTGGTACACCCGTAACATTATTCAGACTGATAAACGATCTACAATAATTTCAAATTCAATAATAGTCCCTTAACTTCATGAATCGCATCATTATTAATTCGGTAAACTACATTTAATATCGTAGAGGCCCAGTTCCAAAAGCTCTCACTACGTGCAGGAGCGCTCTCTTCCCTCAGACGACCTTGAACTCAGTATCGCCAATGGCGCGGCGTTTGAAATTACACTGAAATTTCTGAATATTACATATATACATATTGATAGATATTATAACATAGGGTGCCGCTGTGGAATAAATAGAGCTCTCGTCCCTTGTCTTAAAGATCGTTGGTTCGATACCCGGGCACTCCTAATACACCCAGCTGTACTGTCTTTGGGAAACTAACCTTACAATTTGGGGAAGTGAAAGCGGTCGAGTGCAGTGCGGGCCACATTAACTCCTTGTGTATACGGAAATTTTTAATATACTTTGTAGTGTGTCCTTACTGTCCCAAATGTCGTGCCTGTGGGACTCAGGTTTGCTCTCAAGTTACAGATTCATGCGTTTATTTTCGCTCCTCGTGGTGAAACTGAGTCACGGGAATGAGTCCTCGAGCTGACTTACCCTGACTGTTTCAACTCATTAGGGAGGTCGATGCTGGTTCATTTTGGGCAGGACTGAACCTGATCCCGACTCTGCACTGTACATATTTTAACGATGTATACGTTGAAATGAAACTTGACACTGTTACATCAATCAGTCTGAATGTTGATGAAAATTTATTAACTTAGGGTCTTAATTACTCATTGAGACCTAACAGGTGGCGTAACACAGGTGAGACATAGAGCAGAGATATTGTGTGTGTGTGTATACACAATCTACAGGAGATCCTGAACACCTATGAAGATGCGTTTGCACACTCAGATTCTCTTTCAGCCTGCCCCTGGTTCAGCCACACCTCCACCATCCACGGTACTACTCTCTCTCCGATGTTATCCATTTTCAGTCCCTTCGCTCCCACCTGTCCACCACCATCGGATGAGATGTACATCTCAAGCCTTTGGCAGTCTCCGTACCCGTGTCTTCAGCTGCTATAATATGGCAGCGAGACATGGGTCACATACAGGAGGCACATTAAGGCACTTGAAACTTTCACCAACATAGTCTACGTTCCATCCTCCGAGTTCGATGTGAAGACAAGAGAACAAATGCCAGTATTCTCGTTGACACAAACTGTAGGAGCATCGAGGCTACCATTATGCATGAACAACTACGCTGGACTGGCCATGTTACCCGCATGGACTACAGTAGACTGCCAAAGCAGCTATTTTACAGTCACCTAACGAATAGTAAACGTAACACTGGCAGACAACTGAAAAGGTATAAGGATACTCTTAAGACAAACCTGAAAACGTGCCAAATCGATCCCCTCACTTGAGAGACGGTTACTCCACACCGTAACGCTTGGAGGAGCACCACACAATAAGGCGTCAATTCTTTCGCATTAGCCCGACTGCATAACGGGGCAGATAAGCGCCAGTGCTAGGAAGATGCTGCCACCGTCCCTCCCGCACTAGCTGTAGCCCCCCACATGTGCAACTTCTGTGATCGACCCTGCCAGTCCCGTATCGGCCTCTTTAGTCACCTCAAAACTCACTAACCTAGGTGACATCCTTAATAACTCATATCATTGTATCATAGCTGGATGATCATCATACTTGATTCTGAGTGACAGCAATATAGAAGTGTCTGTATGTATGTATGTATGTGTGTGTGTGTGTGTGTGTGTGTGTGTGTTTGTGTGTGTGTGTGTGTGTGTGTGTGTGTGTGTGTGTGAGACAGGCCGCTAAGTGAGGCTCTTAGCATGGTCGCCTCGCTGCCTCGATCAATACCGAGGTGTACATCAACTGACCGTCAGGAACACCGTACTGCTACTGCTACTACTACGACTACTAATGAGTCCCTACTATTATTACCACACAACTATTACTACTATTACTATTATTACTCTAACTACTATTACTAATACTACTTTTATTAGTCTCACTACTATTACCCAAAATAGTATTACAATTCCTACTTTATGTTTCACTTTTACTACTTTTTTATTGTTCCTACTAACATTACCACAAATATTCCTACAACTACCACCACCACCACTTCGTCCACTGGTATCGTCGTTGCTGGTGCTTTCATCACTGTTTCTGCTGCTGCAACAGTTATATCCGTCATATACAACTATGTACATAGACATTTGCCGAAATTGCTATCATATTGGAGGTCATATTGTAACATCGTCATCGAGAACACTATACGAGTCTCCCCGCAACGACAATAACGCAAAATCAACGACACTGGGATTTACGTTGCCCAAAATCTACGTTTATCCAATACTACGATACTATATTAGTCTTCTACGATCGATTTAGAAGATTGTAGATGAGAAGAAGGATCGTAATATATAGGACGATATCACTGTTGACGTTATTGTAATATTTATTAGTGTTATTGTGTTTGTGTACATCTGTGTATTGCAAGGTAACGTGATGTTGTCCCCGTTCAAATCTTTCGGCTCCTCTGTGTCTTAGTAACTCCAGGTTATATTATGGACTCCACTTCTCGGGGATCTTTCTTCATATAGCCTCTTCTTCCCCCTTTCTTGTTATTTACATATCTCATACATTCTTTTCGTTCACATTCTTCCATCTTATTCTATCTTTCTCTCTTCCTCCTTCTATTTCCCCTCCCCTTCTCGTTATGAATGTATTCTACGTACGTCTGTCTCTCCCTCTCTACCAGTCCCTCAGTCTTGTTTCTCTCATTTTTCTTGTTTATTCTCTGTGTTCTATTTCCCCCATCCTCTCCCTTATCATCATTATACACATATACATCTTAACTCTCTTTCATTTTCTTACAATTATTCTAGTTTTTATTTTAAGTATATAATTTATAGTCTTTCTTAGATATCAATTATTTGTATTTATTTTACCTATTAATTAGATTATATGTGTTTTAATTCTCAACGTCATTATGTGTTTTTTTTTATCAATTTTAATTCTCACAATTTCCATTCATTTAATTAATTCTCTCTATCTCTCTCTCTCTCTCTCTCTCTCTCTCTCTCTCTCTCTCTCTCTCTCTCCTTCTTCACGGGTTCAGTCCAGGTATCGAAATATGTTGCTAATTTTGGCCCTTTAGCGCTAAGGAATGAAATGCTTACTGACCTAATCTGAACACTAGGGGAGAACTCAAGACTTTAGGGGCAGTAGAGTCAAAAGGTCAAATATAGAAAAGGTCATGTCATTTTTAGCGTTTAATATAGCGCTGTGAAGTGGTTTTGTGTTTTTCGTTTTTTCCAGGTGTTGAAAGGTTTGCACTTTATTATCTCACCTGCCTGGGAGTTCAGTCTCTCTCTCTCTCTCTCTCTCTCTCTCTCTCTCTCTCTCTCTCTCTCGTGTTAACTCTGAGGAAGATTCTTTTTAATTATTTTTTTCCTTTATATGCAATTATCCAGTAGCTCCTTTTAATTATAATGACACTACTACTACTACTAATGATAATGATGATGATGATGATGATGATGATGATGATGATGATGATATTATTATTTGTGTAAGAGTTATATAGAGAAAGGCGCCTCGTCCACTACCATTATGTAAGACCTCACGACTCCACGGCGCCTCATTATATTTTAAAAATAAAATCCAAAAATCTTCATATCATTTCCGTCTCATATAGTGAACCAACCAATACCACAGCACCCAAAATTTGAGGTAATTTTAGGTCATTCATCCCCCAAAATTTGAGGTCATTTTAGGTCATTCATCCCCCAAAATTTGAGGTCATTTTAGGTCATCCATCCCCCAAAATTAGAGGTCATTTTAGGTCATCCATCCCCCAAAATTAGAGGTCATTTTAGGTCATCCATCCCCCAAAATTTGAGGTCATTTTAGGTCATCCATCCCCCAAAATTAGAGGTCATTTTAGGTCATCCATCCCCCAAAATTTGAGGTCATTTTAGGTCATTCATCCCCCAAAATTTGAGGTCATTTTAGGTCATTCATCCCCCCCCCCCAATTTTATCTCGTATAAGCTGGGCGAAATAGTCAGGTTACGGTAATGTTGAGCTCGTAGTTTAGGTTTGCTTCCTCATCGACAGGTAAATATGCTTAAACAACCGGCAATTTTGTGTGTTGGCTGTAAATCCTGAGAGGAGAAACTATGCCTCACCACACCAGACTGTTCCCACCTGTGTAGACTTACTGTGTGTGGGAGTTGGAAGTTGGATTGGGTGGAAATCACGATGGACCGTGTGTGTGTGTGTGTGTGTGTGTGTGTGTGTGTGTGTGTGTGTGTGTGTGTGTGTGTACAGTGAGTGTGTGTGTGTGTGTGTGGGATCAATATAACTAAATATTTCTGGTACTTTAAGGTTCAAGTTTACTAAATTATCTTCGTATCTGAGGCTAATGAGAGTTAGTTGACTGTTAGTGTTAATGACTGGACCACGGGCAACACCTTTGATCGTTTACCAATTTTCTCTACATTGATGTATATCTGGAAACACCATTAACCATCGGTAAAAAAAATAAGTGAACCATATTAGAGGGGCCATTTGGTGGTAACTCTTTATACAGTACACGGCAACACACTTTGGTATATGACGACCTGTAGGTGATGAAGGAGAGTGTTCATATGACGACCTGTAGGTGATGAAGGAGAGTGTTCATAGTACGACCTGTAGGTGATGAAGGAGAGTGTTCATAGTACGACCTGTAGGTGATGAAGGAGAGTGTTCATATGACGACCTGTAGGTGATGAAGGAGAGTGTTCATAGTACGACCTGTAGGTGATGAAGGAGAGTGTTCATAGTACGACCTGTAGGTGATGAAGGAGAGTGTTCATAGCGTAATGATGTTCTCACTCACTGAACACCTGGTGATATAATGAGTACAGCAGCAAGGAACCTCTCGAGGCACTTAACACACACACACACACACTAAGGTTCCATGTCGAGTTAGATAATAATCCTAGAGCACAGGATTGGGTTCTCTAGCGCCTCATTAAGGATAGATACGAAATCCTCTCATCTCCTTGGTAAGCTTGTGATCCACCGCGTTTTGGTGAGGTTGTCGGGAAGGAAGGAAGGAAGGAAGGAAGGAAGGAAGTAAGTATGAGGAAGGAAGAAGTATGAGGACACCCGCCCACTCCTACAACACGCCACTTGGTCACATACACACTGCCATGGAGACAGATGACATGGTGTTAACTGTTTACCAAAGGCTTCCCTACCCACTCCTCCGTCACCTGTACAACACAAGGTCAACAACTAGGGTAACAAGACACAATAATCAGGTCTTAAAAAGGTCAAATGGGTCAAAGGTCACCATTATTGAGCAGTGAGAGGCGTAACAGCGCGCTCTCCTTCTCCCACGTCTGGTCACCCACTCAACGTGTGCTGGCAGGAGAGTAACTGTCACCTCGAGAGCCTGACTACATTTCTCCCTCCTCACCCTGACGAGATGAGGCGCCCCACCTCCCCCAATTCCACTGTTCTTCCCCACTATCTCTCTCTCTCTTCTCTCTCCTCAGATGTTATCCTCTCTATTCCAGTGTTCTTCTCCTAATCATTCCTGTCCTATCGTTCTATTGATGTTCTCACATGTACAGAGCTTCACCAACAAAGGTCTTTGAGGCAAACACACACATAGTAATATCCAGAAAAAATAACCCTGACTTACATTCTGGCTTTTTACGCTGACGTTCATGATAACATAATGTATAACTGCGCTTCAACCATTAAGGTCTTTGGGTGTGTATACAGGATATTGAGAGAGAGAGAGAGAGAGAGAGAGAGAGAGAGAGAGAGAGAGAGAGAGAGAGAGAGAGAGAGAGAGAGAGACATCTCGAGTTGTTTTTATCTCTCGTGTCAGTGTTTTCTGGCCGTCAACACTGCACCAAATGTTAATAAGTTGTCTGCAGGTGTTGAGTCGACCAGTGACATACCTGCAGGTGTTGAGTCGACCAGTGACATACCTGCAGGTGTTGAGTCGACCAGTGACATACCTGCAGGTGTTGAGTCGACCAGTGACATACCTGCAGGTGTTGAGTCGACCAGTGACAACTGCAGGTGTTGAGTCGACCAGTGACATACCTGCAGGTGTTGAGTCGACCAGTGACATACCTGCAGGTGTTGAGTCGACCAGTGACATACCTGCAGGTGTTTTCTTCAGGTGCATCACTGGGACAGCCTACATGATGAAAGAGCAGCACGAGTTAATGATCAACTCAAAATACTATGGTCGGGATTTTTCCATTGTTTCTTCTCGTGTATACCATCGTCTCTGCCTTCACCAATCTTATTAGTGATGGCAGGTGATATAGCCAGGGTCATAGATTCTAACTCGTAAAACAAAAATTACCTTGAAATTATCCTTCATTCCCTTGCAAAAAAAATAAATCTGAACTCTGATTGGACACTGGGATCCACATATGCCATTAGTTGATTAATTAAACTATTAAACATTAATATCCTTTGATGATCTTGAGTTATTTTACATAATTAATTCACTCTAAACATAAATTGAGCAAATAACAGACCTGTCTTATGTATTATCGAAGACCAACGACACAACCCAGGTATAAAAATCGACCTTGAAATTCCTCACGTGTCATAATAACTAGCAGGTGTTGCCATCATAGTGCACACGTAAATATCAGGTAACACGTCAGGTGTCTCATCAGTAGAGACAACGTGATCATTACCTGCCGTTATGTACGCCTTACCTGTCTCATCCACCAGGTGTAATCAATGAATATTTTGTCTCGCTAAATAACAATAACAGTAAATTAGTGGTATGGTGTCAGTTCCAACGTGTGTGTGGGAAGAGAAAGAGAGAGAGAGATTTAAAATTTTCATCCCTTTAATCTGTCAAGCTAATCTCTGGCTCTTGTTCGTCCTCCTTCACCCCAAGAATATCCCCCAGAACCCCCAGAAAATCCCCAGAAACTCCCCAGAATATCCCAGAAACCCCCAGAAACTCCCAGAAACCTCCCAGAATATCACCAGAAACTCCAAGAATATCCCAGAACTCCCCAGAATATCCCCAGAAACTCCCCAGAATATCACCAGAACTCCCCAGAATATCCCCAGAAACTCCCCAGAATATCCCCAGAAACTCCCCAGAATATCCCCAGAAACTCCCAAAAATATCCCCAGAATCCCCCAGAATATCCCCAGAAACCCCAAGAATATCCCAGAAACTCCCCAGAAAATCCCAGAAACCCCCAGAATATCCCCAGAAACTCCCCAGAATATCCCCAGAAACTCCCCAGAATATCCCCAGAAACTCCCCCAGAATATCCCCCAAAACCCCCAGAAACTCCCCAGAATATCCCCAGAAACCCCAGATCATACCCAGAAACTCCCCAGAAACTCCCCCAGAATATCCCCAGAAACTCCCAGAATATCCCCAGAAACCCCCAGAATATCCCCAGAAACTCCCCAGAATATCCCCAGAAACCCCCAGAATATCCCCAGAAACTCCCCAGAATATCCCAGAAACTTCCAAAAATATCCCCAGAAACTCCCCAGAATATCCCAGAAACCCCCAGAATATCCCCAGAACCCCAGAATATCCCCAGAAACTTCCAAAATATCCCCAGAAACTCCCCAGAATATCCCCAGAAACTTCCAAAAATATCCCCAGAAACTCCCAAGAATATCCGAAACTCCCCAAAATCCCAGAAACTCCCCAGAATATCCCCAGAAACTCCCCAGAATATCCCCAGAAACTCCAGAATATCCCCAGAAACTGAATATCCCCAAAAACTCCCCAAAACTCCCCAGAATATCCCCAGAAACTCCCCCAATATCCCCAGAAACCCCCAGAAAATCCCCCAGAAAACCCCAGAAAATCCCCAGAATATCCCCAGAAACCCAGAATATCCCCAGAAACACCCCCAGAATATCCCAGAAACCCCCAGAATATCCCCAGAAACTCCAGAATCATCCCCAGAAACCCCCAGAAACTCCCCAGAATATCCCCAGAATATCCCCAGAATATCCAGAAACCCCAGAATATCCCCAGAAACTCCCCAGAAACTCCCCAGAAACTCCACAGAATATCCCAGAAACTCCCCAGAATATCCCAGAAACCCCCAGAAACTCCCCATAATATCCCCAGAAATCCCCAGAATATCCCCAGAACCCCAGAATATCACCCAGAATATCCCCAGAAACTCCCCAGAATATCCCCAGAAACTACCCAGAATATCCCCAGAAACTCCCAGAATATCCCCAGAAACTCCCAGAATATCCCCAGAAACTCCCCAGAAACCCCAAATATTCCAGAAACCCAGAATATCCCCAGAATATCCCAGAACCCCCAGAACATCCCCAGAACTCCAGAATATCCCCAGAAACCCCAGAATATCCCAGAAACCCCAGAATATCCCAGAACCCCCAGAATATCCCCAGAAATTCCCAGAATATCCCAGAAACACCCAGAAACCCCCAGAATATCCCCAGAAACCCCAGAATATCCCCAGAAACTCCAGAAACTCCCCAGAACCACACACCCCGAGAGCGCAATAATAAACATTACCATTTCTGATTTGATCACAAGGATAAACATATGAATGCCTCTCCCATCCCTCTCTCACTCTCTCCTCTCCACTCTCCACTCTCTCACTCTCCCCCACTCTCCCCACTCCCTCTCCACTCCCCACTCTCCCCCTCACTCTCCTCCCCCACCTCCCCCCCTCTCCACTCTCCCTCCTCTACCTCCTCCCTCTTACCTCCCCCTCTCTTCTCTCTCTCTTCTCTCCTCCTCTCTACCTCTCTCACTTTCCCCCCACTCTCCCTCCCTCTCTACTCTCCCTCTACTTTCCCCCTCTCACCTCCCCCCTCTTACTCTCCTCCCTCTCTTACTCTCTGTCTTACTTTCCCTCAATCTCTCTTACCCTCCCTTATTCTTCCCTTGTTCTCCCTTACTTTATTCTCCTCTCACTTACTCTCTCTCTCTTTCACTCTGACTCTCTACGTCACTCTCCCCCTCTCACTCATTCTTCACCTCGCTTTCTATCTCACTCTCTCTCTCTCACTTCCTTTCACTCTCTCTCTCAGTCCCCCCCTCTCTCCTCTTACATTCTCCTTCCTCTCTCCTATTTTTGGTCATCTTTTCTTCTTCCTCTTCCTCCTTCCCTTCTTCCTCTTTATTCTTTCTCTCCCTCTTCTACCTCATACTCCCTCTTATTCGTCCCCTTCCTTCTCACCGCCTCTTCTTCCTTCTCACCCCTCCTCTTCCTTCTCACCTCCTCCTCTTCCTTCTCACCCCCTCCCTTCCTTCTCACCTCCTCCCCTTCCTTCTCATCTCCTCCCTTCCCTCTCACCTCCTCCCCTTCCTTCTCACCCCCCCTCTTCCCTCTCACCTCCTCCCCTTCCCTCTCCTCCTCCCTTCCTCTCATCTCCTACTACCCCTCTCTCGAAGCAGCTGCCTAAGTCGAGGATTTAATATGAATATCCTCTGGGAAGTTCAGGGTGTGTTTCAGATTAAGGTGAGGCATGAACTGGGCTACACACACACACACACACACACACACACACACACACACACACACACACACACACACACACACACTCACACACTCAATCAAGGTGTAATCTTTATATCTGAAGGTTGGCGACCACTTCCCCCTTTATCCACCCTCCAAAATGTTTTCCTTTAATTTGTGTCTGTTTGGGATCACAACTTTTGATTTAATTTATCCATCCCTGTCTCTGCCTCTCCCCACCCCTCCCCTTCCCTTATCCTGTAACTCCTTCCTAGTGACACCCCAGAAACTACCTGCAAACTAATTTTTATCAGGTAAATCAGTGAAAGCATAAAATTCCGACAGCAGTTAAAAAAAAAAGTTTTGACGGTGACAACTGTGCTCGGCCGCATACTGCACCTCCACCACCAACTGTGCTCGGCCGCATACTGCACCTCCACCCACCAACTGTGCCCGGCCCGCATACTGCACCTCCACCCACCAACTGTGCCCGGCGCATACTGCACCTCCACCACCCACCCTGTGCCCGGCCCGCCTGACCTCCACCACCCACCAACTGTGCCCGGCCGCATACTGCACCTCCACCACCCACCAACTGTGCCCGGCCCACATACTGCACCTCCACCACCCCAACTGTGCCCGGCCCACATACTGCACCTCCACCACCCAACTGTGCCAGCCACCTGCACCTCCACCACCCACAACTGTGCAGCCCGCATACTGCCTCCACCACCAACTGTGCCCGGCCCGCATACTGCACCTCCACCACCCCAACTGTGCCCGCCACATACTGCACCTCCACCACCCACCAACTGTGCCCGGCCCAGACTGCACCTCCACCACCCACCAAGTTTGCACCACACCAATTTCAGGTTATCTGGGGACCTTGGTACGAGTGAACCAGACGAGCTCTTCAAATCAATTCAAACGAGAGAGAGAATTGAACCAGAATACTTTTACATCTGTGCCAGCTGACGGTATTGTGAGCACTTAAGTTAATTATTAAAGGCAAAGATTATTTTTATATGTGTTATATTCACTGCAGTTAGTTAAGGAAGAAGTTATATGAGGTTTTTAATGTTATATTCCAGTAGGAGTTACGTATCTTTTAGGTCCCCCTCCTCCTCCTCCCCGTGGTTTACTGTTGGGTTAAATATTATGATTTCTTACACCACCACCACCACCACAACGCAGTGTCCCCCACCTCACCACCACCACCACAACGCAGTGTCCCACCCCACCTCACCACCACCACCACAACGCAGTGTCCCCCACCACCATCACCACCACACAGTGTCCCACCCCACCTCACCACCTCACCACCACCACCACACAGTGCCCCCACCACCACCACCACCACCACCACAACGCAGTGTCCCCCACCTCACCACCACCACCACCACCACCACACAGTGCCCCCACCTCACCACCACCACACTCTACGCTGCCCTGGGTGAGATATACACACTAAATCAGTGTCTTATGATAGACTAATCACTTTATGGTTGAGAAGGACACTGTTCATGTAAGGTTATTGTTGTTAACAGTCAAGTGACGACCTACAGTAGTGATGGTTACGGCCCCTCAGGCGACACATGTCAGGTAAAGGTACAGTAGCCTACATGTGCTGATATACTGAACAGACAACACTGAACAACAGACAACAATGAACAATGAACAACACTGAACAACAGACAACACTGAACAACACTGAACAACACTGAACAACAGACAACACTCAACAACAGACAACACTGAACAACAGACAACACCGAACACTGAACAGACAACACTGAACACTGAACAACAGACAACACTAAACAACAGACAACACTGAACAACAGACAACACTGAACAACAGACAACACTGAACAACAGACAACACTGAACACTGAACAACAGACAACACTGAACACTGAACAGACAACACTGAACACTGAACAGACAACACTGAACAACAGACAACACTGAACAACAGACAACACTGAACAACAGACAACATTGAACAACAGACAACACTGAACACTGAACAACAGACAACACTGAACAACAGACAACACTGAACAACAGACAACACTGAACAACAGACAACACTGAACACTGAACAACAGACAACACTGAACACTGAACAACAGACAACACTGAACAACAGACAACACTGAACAACAGACAACACTGAACAACAGACAACACTGAACACTGAACAACAGACAACACTGAACAACAGACAACACTGAACACTGGAACAAACACTGAACAGACAACACCGAACACTGAACAACACCGAACACTGAACAGACAACACTGAACAACAGACAACACTGAACACTGAACAACACCGAACACTGAACAGACAACACCGAACACTGAACAACAGACAACACCGAACACTGAACAGACAACACTGAACACTGAACAGACAACACCGAACACTGAACAACAGACAACACCGAACACTGAACAGACAACACTGAACACTGAACAACAGACAACACCGAACACTGAACAACAGACAACACTGAACAACAGACAACACTGAACAGACAACACCGAACAGACAACACTGAACACTGAACAACACCGAACACTGAACAGACAACACCGAACACTGAACAACAGACAACACCGAACACTGAACAGACAACACTGAACACTGAACAGACAACACCGAACACTGAACAACAAACAACACTGAACACTGAACAGACAACACTGAACACTGAACAGACAACACCGAACACTGAACAACAGACAACACCGAACACTGAACAACAGACAACACCGAACACTGAACAACAGACAACACTGAACAACAGACAACACTGAACAGACAACACCGAACAGACAACACTGAACACTGAACAACACCGAACACTGAACAGACAACACCGAACACTGAACAACAGACAACACCGAACACTGAACAGACAACACAACACTGAACAGACAACACCGAACACTGAACAACAAACAACACTGAACACTGAACAGACAACACTGAACACTGAACAGACAACACCGAACACTGAACAACAGACAACACCGAACACTGAACAACAGACAACACTGAACACTGAACAGACAACACCGAACAGACAACACTGAACACGAACAACAGACAACACTGAACACTGAACAACAGACAACACTGAACACTGAACAACACTGAACACTGAACAACAGACAACACTGAACACTGAACAGACAACACTGAACAACAGACAACACTGAACACTGAACAACAGACAACACTGAACAACAGACAACACTGAACACTGAACAACAGACAACACTGAACACTGAACAGACAACACTGAACAACTGACAACACCGAACACTGAACAACAACAGACAACACTGAACACTGAACAACAGACAACACTGAACACTGAACAACAGACAACACTGAACACTGAACAACAGACAACACTGAACAACAGACAACACTGAACACTGAACAACAGACAACACTGAACACTGAACAACAGACAACACTGAACACTGAACAACAGACAACACTGAACACTGAACAACAGACAACACTGAACACTGAACAGACAACACTGAACACTGAACAACAGACAACACTGAACAACAGACAACACTGAACAACAGACAACACTGAACAACAGACAACACTGAACACTGAACAGACAACACTGAACAACAGACAACACCGAACACTGAACAACAGACAACACTGAACACTGAACAACAGACAACACTGAACAACAGACAACACTGAACAACAGACAACACTGAACAACAGACAACACTGAACACTGAACAACAGAACACTGAACACTGAACAACAGACAACACTGAACAACAGACAACACTGAACAACAGACAACACTGAACACTGAACAACAGACAACACTGAACAACAGACAACACTGAACAACAGACAACACTGAACACTGAACAACAGACAACACTGAACAACAGACAACACTGAACAACAACAGACAACACTGAACAACAGACAACACTGAACACTGAACAACAGACAACACTGAACACTGACAGACAACACTGAAC